AGAGTCAAACACGACTGAGCATGCATACATGCACAACTTCACAACTACTGTGGGAGATTCTTTGAGTTCATTGAGAAAAAGAAGCCAGCACACAGTAAGCTCTCAAACAAACAAACAAAGCTGTCATTATTATCCTTTTTAAATCATGATTACCTCTAATTAAAGTGAAAGTCTCCTCCTCAAAATTAAAGCTCAACCTTAAAGTGTCCCCTCTTTTCTTCCCCAACTAAGTGACTACTCTAAACTGTTGAGTTCTTGCCAATTTCTGTTTAAACGGCACTTCTGAACAAAAACTACCCCTGCAGTGTGATAATGTATCTTCCATATTTTGCAAACAGTAGGCAGAATCAGCTCTCCTTGAACAGCCACAGAACTAATCTACTTGCCTGTCTAGGAAGCATTCAAGTGACGGGCAGCAACTTCTGTTTACTTTCACAAAGAGCCTATCGTGTGTCAAGCATGATGTTTATTTAGCACAGACACTTCACGAATTATCTGCTGAATTTCAGTGGGGAGGGGGGCATTCAATGGTCTATGTTTTAATTAGTAATAACCCCAAAGTTCTCATTTAAAATACATATTCAGTACCTACCACTGGGCTACGTGCTGCAGGGAATGAAAACTTAACAGTAAAGCACAGTCTTTAAAAAGAAGTTTATAGTCCATTAGGAGGGAAGAGAAGTACACTAATTATCCATAATGTAACATGAGAGGGGCAGATAAAATGGTAGGAAAAAAATCAGGTGGGGCAAGTAACTTAGAGTTAAGGGTAGTTATGGGGGCACTTTTTAAAAAACAAGATGATGGGTAGGATGAAAGTTTACACAATGTGTAGAAGTTTAATAGACCACAGAAAGGAGTAGAAGAAACAAGGAGACAGAATTTCAGAGAAAACAAGAGCACGGGGGGTTCAGAGAATGGCAGTAGTTCTGACTGGATGGAATGAAAGGACAGTGAGAGAGGTGGCTAGATTCTAAAAGCCTCTGATGAGCAGTAGTCAAAAGACAGGACTAGATTTGGCAAAAAAACAGGTTTTCTGAGCCAGTGAGTGGCATGGTCAGAGTTTCATTTTATGTAAATTAACATGGACGTGCCGAGGCAGGAGGAGATCACCTCTATCCTAATTTAGTCAAGTAAAAGGAAAGAAGACATAAATATCAGTTATATTATGTATGGAGAAAATACTACTATAACCTAAGAGAAGAGATGGAGGAGAACTCAAACATAGCAACAAAGTTTGAAGCTAAATGTCTGGGAAAAATAGTGATGCCACTAATACTGATAGAAATCAGTTCAAAGAGCTGCGGGTGGGAGAGAAGTGATATAATAAATTCTATTGGAATATGTTGAATCTGATGGACCAGCACATTACAAACTGTGGGCTACAGAACCAACAGAAGTGTCGAGAGCGGGCCAGTGAGAAAACCTCAGAGAGGTAACATGTTTAGGGTGTAGCAAGGTGGGCTAGTGAAAACAGATGAAGAAGCATTGTTTAGAGAAGAATACTCAGGTTAGTACAGATGGTTGAACCCAAAGATGAAAGGGCTTCAGAGGAATCGTGAAGACAACGGACAGATGGGAGAGGTTAAAGGAGTGAGTGAGGAGGTAAGAGCAGTGAATGTCACCACTTGTTCAACAAACTCAAAAAGAAGAAAGAAAAGATGGGATATAGACAAGGGCACTGAAGAATTATTTGTTCTTCTGGGAGGGGGACCTTCTGAAGGTCCTTGTGCAGATCAGAGGTGATATGGAGTTAAGTTATACGTAGACTCAAAAAAGAAATGACACAAATGAACTTACAGACAAAAAAAGAAACAAACTCAGACTTGGAGAATGAACTTATGGCTGCCGGGGGAAGGATGGGGGAAAGGGATAGTTAGGGAGTTTGGGATGATCATGTGTACATGGCTATATTTAAAACAGATAACCAACAAAGACAGACTGTAGAGCACATGGAATTCTGCTCAATGTTATGTGCCAGTCTGGTTGGGAGGGGAGCTCGGGGGAGAATAGATACATGTATATATATGGCTGAGTCCCTCTGGATGTCCACCTGAAACTATCACAATATTGTTAATTGGCTATATTCTAATATAATATAAAAAAATTTTTTTTTTAAAAAAAGGTGATGTGAGGAAACAACTGAATACTCAAGAAAGAAAACAAGTGACCCTGGAGACACAAAAAAAAAAAAAGAGAGAGAGAGAGGCAAATGAAAAGACAGAAATATGTTAAGGCAGAAAAAGAAAATGAAGCTTGAAAGTAAAGACGACCAGCTGTCAGATGTGCTTTTTCAGCCTCCAAAGAATTTTTAAAAATATGACTTAAATTGTAGAGATTTTACCTAGAAAACCAGACTCTTGATTTTTCTAGAGAAAAGAGAAAGATGGGCAACAAAGGGCCAGGCTTCCACAGGACAACTAACGTGGCTGTCACCGTCCCATCTCCTCTTTCATTTCAGTAATTCAGAAGGCCTCTCTGGGCAGTTGAGTCTGTGATCCCTGACCTACATCCTTTCAATTAAAAAAAGGAGATGATGTCATCCTTAGACAGTGAGGACACTAGACTGAGACTGGAAAACTGTGAAAAGCCATTGTAATAGTCATCGAAGGAAATGGGTTAGGAAGTCAGACAGGAGATGAATAACCAAAGAGTTGTGGTCTATTGGTCCGCTAAAGAGAGCAGGGATTCATCATGTTGCCTGGCAGGGCCGACAGCCTGAAAGCAGAGACCTCAGGACAGTTGTGGCAGAAGACAGGAGGACAAAGGGTCCTGGGGTGATGGGGGACCTCAGTGAGAAGACCGGCCCTCGATGGAGAGTCCAAAGGGGTTGGTGTCCTGGGAGAGTGAAGAGGAGATATTGTGGGAACACAGAGTGGATTAGGAAGGGAGGGGGGATGGAGGAGACCTGGAAGGCAAGATAAAGAGTCTTCCTGGAATTTTTCTGGCAGGAACTTGAAAGTATCATCTGTATAAAAATATTAGAGGACAGATCACATATCAAAGGTTAAATGGAAGAACTGGGAGACTTTGGGAGGAAAGTAAAAGCTAGTATGATTAGTACAAAAGGGAAAAGTTAGTTCTGCAAAAATTTGCCTTTAGTACATCTTATCCCTGCTATTCAATTCCTAGAAACAAGTGAAAATATAACTGAGCTTGGTAACCAATGATAAATTAAGTTCAAAGAATTATATTTTTGTGAAATGAGCCATGTGAATGTCAAAGGCTTTTCAACTAGACACTTGACTTCCTTTCAAATATGATTTTGGAGATAAAAATACACTCATTCTTTGTTCTTATATGCAGAGGACTGTATACATTATCTCAAGTTTTCGAGAAGAAAGGAGATCAAAAGTTTGAATTTCAGTAAGTTCTCGGTGTCCCCCAAAGCACAAGCACGTATAGAGGGAAGGGACCCAGTGCTCACACCTGCTGGCCCGGTGCCTCAGCCTATGGAGTCTACATATGCCCTAAGTACCTTTATGTTGAACAGAAACACACACAAAACAAAATGACATATTAAATGCAGAGACTAATCCTACAAAGTTACACCCCAACTGGCAGCCTAGCAGCTCTGCCGGGAACAGCAATCACGGCAGCACCACCAAGGAGCAGGGGTGGGCGGTTAAGGCTTTATCTTCCATGTCTGGGCTATTTGCTCTTATGGTGAGAATGTATTCCTTACTGAAAACAATTTTAATTAAAATTCAATGAAATGAAACTAAATCAACCTTTCTAATCATCAAAGAAACATACATTTAGATGAGATCTTTTATTTCAACTATCACTAAAGAGACTGGTGAGGCAGAATACCTGTAAGGTGTGGGACCAGAGGAAATGCAATGGTGTGGCCACTGCTGTTTTTCTCTGAAGAGATGATGCATGCCCAAAGCACAACATTTAAAAGATACAAAAGAACCTGTTCTAAAAATTAAGTCTCAGGACCTCCCTGGTGACCAACGGTTAAGAATCTACCTTCCAAGGTAGAGTACGTGAGTTCAGTTCCTGGTTGGTGAACTAAGATCCCACATGCTGTGGAACAACTAAGTCTGTGTGCTGCAACTAAGACCCAACGCAGCCAAAAATAAATAAATAAAACTTTTTAAAAAAAATTAAGTTTTCATCTGTCTCCTATACCCTAGACTCCAGTTCCTCCTCTTAAAATCTACTATTACCAAGTTTCTTAGGTGTCCTTCAAAGAGTCTACTAAATCATGGGCAGGAGTGTAAATCAATACACCTTACTGAGAGAAAGCTTAGCAGGATCTATCAACACTTTAAATACACATACCTTACTAGCTTTCAACTCTACCCATAAGATTCTACAAAAAAATGATCTATGTACCTAAATGCCCATGGCAACCTTTCAGAGGTAATGAGTAATTAGAAACCACATAAATATAAAAAATACAGCATATATGTCCAATAGCTGGAGAATAATCCCATGGACAGAGGAGCCTGGTGGGCTACAGTCCATGGGGTCGCAAAGAGTCGGACATGACTGAGCGACTCACACACACACACACACACGTCCAACAGAACACTGTGTGTGCATGTGCACACTCAATTATGTCTGACTCTGCAACCCCACAGACTGTAGCCCACAAGGCTCCTCTGTCCTTGGGATTCCCCAGGGAAGAATACTGGAGTGGGTCGCCACTTCCTTCTCCAATAGGACACTGCAGAGTCATTATCAGACCAGAGAGCTCTATATACAGTTGACCCTTGAGCAACATGGAGGTGGGAAGGTTAGGGGCACCAATTATCTGCACATTTAAAAATCTGCATATAACTCACATTCAGCCCTTGGGATCTGTGGTTCTGCATCCAAGGATTCAGTCAACAGGGGATCATGTAAACAGTGTGGTACATATTTAGTGAAAAAAGTTCCTATGGTTCCTGTGTAAGTGGACCTATGCAGTTCAAACCCATGTTGTTCAACAGTCAGCTGTATAACAAACATGGAAAGACCTTTTCCTTTCGGCGGCTCGCGGCGGCAAGATGGCCGTGCAAATTTCCAAGAAGAGGAAGTTTGTCGCTGATGGCATCTTCAAAGCTGAACTGAACGAGTTTCTCACTCGGGAGCTGGCTGAAGATGGGTACTCTGGAGTTGAGGTCCGAGTTAAACCAACCAGGACAGAAATCATTATCTTGGCCACCAGGACACAGAATGTACTTGATGAGAAGGGCCGGCGGATCCAGGAGTTGACTGCTGTGGTTCAGAAGAGATTTGGCTTCCCTGAAGGCAGTGTAGAGCTTTACGCTGAAAAGGTAGCCACAAGAGGACTGTGTGCCATTGCCCAGGCAGAATCTCTGCGTTACAAGCTCCTAGGAGGCCTTGCTGTGCGGAGGGCCTGATATGGTGTGCTGCGGTTCATCATGGAGAGTGGGGCCAAAGGCTGCGAGGTCGTGGTATCTGGGAAACTTCGAGGACAGAGGGCTAAATCCATGAAGTTTGTGGATGGCCTCATGATCCACAGTGGGGACCCTGTTAACTACTATGTTGACACTGCCGTGCGCCATGTGCTGCTCAGACAGGGTGTGCTGGGCATCAAGGTAAAGATCATGCTGCCTTGGGACCCAACTGGTAAGATTGGCCCTAAGAAGCCTCTGCCTGATCACGTGAGCATTGTGGAACCCAAAGATGAAATACTGCCCACCACCCCCATCTCTGAACAGAAGGGTGGGAAGCCAGAGCCGCCTGCCATGCCCCAGCCGGTACCCACAGCATAATAGGTCTCCTTGGCCGCTGGATCTGGAATTTGAATGTTGCTCTGCAAAGACCTTTAATAAAATCTTTTTAAAAGAAAAAAAAAAAAAACATGGAAAGATGTTTCATGACACATAGGAGAAAGAAAAAAAGGGAGCTTCCAAGAAAACCAACAGTACAACAGTGTTTCTGTAAATTAATAAAAAAATTCTGGATTTGCATTATCTGTATGAATGTTGCATATGTCTAGGAGGATATTCAAATAATCTTTAATTGTGTTAATTACAGAGGATTTGGAAGGGGAAAAGAGTGGAAAAAAGAATAGGGAATGGTTTTAATTTTTTAATACTATGATATTATTTGCATTACAATGAGCACATAATACTTTTGTAACTTAAGAGTTTTAAGAATTAAGGTAAATAATAAAGCTGACAGAAATCAGTATTACATGGATGAAAATCATCATCTGTAAAAACAGTTTTGCATGCATGTTATTAAAAAGACTAAGATATGACAGGTAAGGATTTAACTGCCAAGAGCTGCCCCGAAGGCCCAGGCATGAACTAACATATGATTATATTGAAGGATGAATAAGAATCATGCATTCTAAGAGCTGCCAGACACAGAGTCCCAAAGCTGTGGAGCGAAGTCAGAAGGGCCCAGTCATCCCAAAATGCAAGTTCTTTTCTCTTCTTATAGACCCAAACTCAGTAAAGAAAGGTAATGGACATGGAAAGAAGGAGAGCTAAGTAAATAGAGGTATTACAAAAATCCAGGAATTTCAGATTATCTACAAGAATAACCCTAAAATCCAGGAATAATCCTAAGGTCCACTTTCTAAATTTCAGCCAGAAGCCAAAACTTATTTTCTGAAAAGGTGGGCATCAACTGTAGAATTTAAACTTTAATCCAAGAACACACAGTACACTGGTCATGAGAAAGGAACACGATGAAAAAGCTGACAAAAAAGGACAGACGATTAGAAGGCATGGAGTGTCCTTCTATCTCCAGCACTGATCATGAGAAAGGATGCACTCACTGATTCCATGGAAGTTTCACAGCCTTTCCAGCAGACAATCCTCTGGAAGGAGAAAACGCTGAGGCAACGTTCATTCAGAAATGCTACAGCTAAAGATTACAGCAGCTGTGGCCAAACCTCCTTCCAATGCTGGCCTTATTTCTCAAACTCACAATGCTAGTTTTCTACTGCTGCCACAACAAATGACCACAAATTCAGCAGCCTGAAACAACACCTATCTGTCATCTCACAGCTTCTGTGGATCAGAAGGCGGGGCACCGTGTGGCTCAGCTGGGTGTCTACCCCAGGGTTCACAGGCAGAAATCATGATGGCGGCAGGGCTGTGCTCCTCTCTGGAATCTCTGAGGATGAGCTCATTCAGATTGTGGGCAGACTTCATTCTGTGGTTGCAGGAGTGAGATCCCCATTTCCTTCCTGGCCATGGGCCAGGGATTGTTCTCAACTGCTGGAGACCACTTGGCTTGGTGCCTCACACAAAGTCAGCAATGGCGGGTCAGGTCCCTCTCAGCTGCTCTCCTGCCTCACCTCTCCTCCTGCCTCCTCCTTCTGCCCCCTCTCTCTGAGTCTTCCGTTTGTAAAGGCTGAAGTAATTACTTAAAGTTTGCCCACCTGGAAAGTAAACTGCTGCAGCTACTATGTAGAATAGTATGAAGATTCCATAAAGAACTAAAATAGAGCTACCAGATGGTCCAGCAACCCCACTCCTGAGTATATATTCAGAAAAGACAAAGCTCTTAATTCAAAAAGATACATACACCCCATGTTCACAGCTGCACTAGTTACACAGTCAAGACATGGAAGCAACATAAATGTCCACTGACATGATGGATAAAGAAGACATGGGACATATACAAATGGAATACTACTGAGCCATAAAAAAGAATGAAATAATGTTATTTGCAACAACATGTATGGACCTAGAGATTATCACACTAAGTGAACTAAGTCAGAGAAAGACAAACTATCATTTGATAGCACTTATAAGTGGAATCTTTAAAAAATGGAACAAAAGAACTTCTTTACAAAAAGAAATAGAGAGCAGAGGTAACTACATTCAATATCTTATAATAACCTATTATGGAAAAGAATCTGAAGAAGAATATATATTAACATATGTATAACTGCATCTCTTTGCTATACATCTGAAACTAACACAACATTGTAAAATAAATATACTTCAACAAAAAATTATTTAATGCTGAATTCTGCCACCTGGACAATTGAGGCTACTCTCCCTACCTTACAGAATGCTATTCCTTCACAGCTGTACTTGGATTAGTGCTGACTGAACAATCAAATGACAGGAAACCTGGGAGGACATCTTTAGGATTATGCCTACCATACTCATTTATATTCTGAGGTTAAAAAAAAAAGATGACACAAGTAATCCAATCTAACTGGATTTATCAGTGTATAATAATGACCTGACACTGCTCTTGTGTTATTTCAATTAAACCTGAAAATAACTCTGCTAAATAAATTATTATCATAACCATCTTCATAATCAACAAAACTATGCCTCAGTGAGAACTGCATGCAAGTGAGACAAATCGGAATTAAGCCCAATGCTGGCTTCTAAAGAGCTCATTTCCTCTAATATTTCTGAAAACATGGCACAATTATGACTTCAAACAAAAGAATGGCTAAGTTAATAGTAATGAGAATAAGGAACAGTGATGTTTAAATTGGAGAGGGAGGAAATCCAATAGGAATTAGCAACTAATCGGTTCTGTGAATTAAAAGTAAAGGAAAAAATAAAATAAAAGTCAACTACTATCTGAAGGACAAACTGAGGTTAACAAATCATGTAAGTCCAAAGAAACTTGAGTAATTTCTACCCAGAGGATGTGGAAGACAATTTACATTACCAAAAGTCCTAATAATTTTGAAAATTACAAAGTAGTCATACAATGGAATACTAGCCCTAACATACTAAGGAGGCTACAAAACACCATGTACAAGACTGTGCACATTCATGTATGCACACGCATGTGAACATACTGACACACTTTCCATTTATCTTATTCAATAAATATGTATGGAGCATCGCTTGTGTGCTAAACATGTGTCTAGTTGCTATGGATATAGCAATAAACAAAACAAAGTCCCTGCCTAGGAACAGCAAACATACAAATAAACAAGTGAAAATATAAGAGATAGTGATAATACCATGGAGAGAAGAAAGCAGCGTAAGGAAACAGGGAACTCACTGAGAAGGGTTGTTGTTTTGTGTGAGCTGGTCAGGGAAGGTGACTCTGATACGGTGACATCAGAACACAGCTCTGATGGAAATGAGTGAGCCATGTGGTTCTCTGGGGGTAAGCCTGCAGTAAGCCAAGAAAACAGCAAGTCCAAGTGTCCTGGGGCAGGAGAACTAGAGGAACAGAGAGGAAGCAATTGTGGCTGCAACCAAGTAAACCAGGACGGAAGGAGAAGGGGGAGAGGTCAGAGAAGGCCAGGACTTCTGCACTATTTTAAGGACTTTGGAAATGAGAAGGCATCAGAGGATTCTGCATACAAGAAAAAACATACAGTTTATCCATAAATAAAGAACTGAAGGGACTCCCCTGGTGGTTCAGTGGCAAGACTCCATGCTCCCAGTGCTGGGGGCCCAGGTTCAATCCCTGACCAGGGAACTATACCCCACATGTAGCAACTAAGAGGTTGCATGCTGAAACTAAAGATCCAGCATGGCACAACTAAGACTTGGAACAGCCAAACAAATAAAATATATAAATAGCATTTAAAAAGAGCTGAAAGTCAAAAATACTAAGTGTGAAAGTGAAAGTGTTAGTCACTCAGTCATATCCTACTCTTTGTGACACCACGGACTATATAATATAGCTCACCAGGCTCCTCTGTCCATAGGATTTCCTAGGCAAGAATACTGGAGAGGGTAGCCATTCCCTGTCCAGGGGATCGTGCCAACCCAGGGATCAAACTCAGGCAGATTTTTTCTTCACCATCTGAGCCACCAGGGAAGCCTCAGTCTAGAAATAATCCGCTCTTCATAATGGGATGATAACTGGAACTTTTGTTTTCCCGTTTTACTTATTATTCAAAAGAAAAGGTTTGGTGTGTAGAATGTCAAGTTAGTTTTCAAGTGGACAGAAGTGAATGACCAGTGATGCTCCGGGGACAGTGGTTAGTCTCCCGGGTTCTGGATCAGAAGAGCTGAATTTGGTTTGCTCACTTCGAGTCCATTCGATTTACCCAATGTGCATTAACCTCAGTCCACTTAGCTTAAAATGTAAGTAATAATAACCACCTCTTCTGGCTGTTCTGATGGAAGGAAAGCACTCGCACAGTACTCAGCATATAGTAAGAGTCCCTAGGGCCCTATATCTGTTAGTATCACCGCCCAGCAGATTCAGCCAGGTCTGCTTTATGTATGAAACAGCTAAAATGTGCCTGTCATCTGTAGTGTGCGTGGGATGCAGACGATGTGTCAACCTAACCTGGGCTTCCTCCCAGGGTCTCCCTCTGAACACCAGTGCAATCCAAGAGATAACACAAGTTCAACTCAACTTAATTTTCAAAACCCAAACTGAGAGAATCCATGAGGCTCTGCGGCTAAGGATGCCAAATCTAAAGCACAGAAACAAATGA